TGAGGTTTGTTGTTGTCCGTTGTCATGCACCATAATGTATTCATGTCAGCTAGATTAGCAGTTTAAAACTGAGTTTTGTATCACTCATGACCAGCAGTGTCTTTGTTTAGGCACACCAATGAAAATTCTCAGTTTTTTGACCAACATCTTAAAGCACTGTTTGAAGACTTACAGAATCATACTGCAAAGACGGATGCATTAATAAAGAAGCTGGGCATTGACAATGGTACAGTATGTTAACACAAAGGACAACAAAACATCTGAATTCTATAAATCACCTGTGCATTTGAAGTGTTGCATTCATAATCCATAATTAAAGTTCATAGTTAAAGAAACATTTTTATAATTGACTTGTTTTGTTGAACATCTCTGCACTCAGTGTATGAACAGCGTGATGCTGCAGAGTACTTTGAGAAGATTTTAACACTGACCAGTCCTCAGGCCTCACAGGTACAGTCTTCATCAAAGGGTAACTATAAGCAGGATGGAAAAAAAATAATAGATGTTAACAGGTTTTTGTTCATTTGTTTTTCAGATCTTCCATGGCATGTTGGCAAAAAAGACCACCTGTTGTAAATGCCTGACAGAGACTGACATAGATATACCGTTCTGGCATCTTCCTCTTGCACTGGTGGATTCCTGCACTGACACAAAAGGAAGTGAAGGATACAGAGTGGTAAGGATCTGACAAGCCTCAAACCTCTGAGCATGTTTCTGTTTTCAATATATACCGTAGGGGAAATTTCAAACCCTGCTGAATTTGAAAATTTTCTTAAAAAGAAATGAACAGTCTCTAATTTTTGTGGTAGTGTCATGGAGAGACAACATGTTAACCAAAAATTCATAAAAACACGTGACATAAAAGTTTTAGGGTCTTGTAGCTGGTCACCAGGCTTGCACATGTCTCAGGAGGATTTTTGGCCCACTCTTCTTTACAGAAACTCTCATAATCCTGTTTGTTTTGTTTGTTTGTTTTTGTTTTTTGGCTGCCACTCAGCACTTTGAGGCTTCAGCTCCCTACACAGATTTTCAGGACCGAGGTCTGGCTAGGCCACTCCATGACTTTAATGTTCTTCTTCATTAGCTCCTCTTTTTGTTTCCTTATTGTATTTTTGAGTCATTGTCATACTGGAAGACCATCCAGGATCCATCTTCAGTGTTCTGGCTGAGGGACGAAGGTACAATACGGTGGAGTCATCCTGTACTCTTAGCAGAATAACAGCCCAAAGCATAATGTTTCCACATTCGTGCTGGACTGTAGAGATGGTGTTCTTTGGGCCATACTCAGCATTCCTCTTCCTCCAAACATGGCAGGTCAAGTTGATGCCATAGAGCTCGATTTTGGTTTTGATTTGACAACAGCGCTTTATCCTAAACCTTCTCTATATTATTTAGAGGTCACTGACAAACTAAAGATGGGCCTGTACTTGGGCCTTCTTGATCAGAGGGAGCTTTTGGGTGCTGCAAGACTTTAGTCCATTATGCCATTAGTGTGTTATCAATGGTGTTCTTGCTGACTGTGGTCACAACTACCTTGATATCATTAACAAGCTCCTCCCGTGTACTTTTGGGCACATGATCATCTTCACCATATGAGGCAAGCGCTCCACACTGAAGGCGACCGATGGTCATTTTATGTTTCTTCCATTTCTGCAATACTACACCAACAGTTGTCACCTTCTCACCAAGCTTCTTGCTGATGGTGTGGTAGCACATTCCAACCTTATGCAGATAATTACCCTTTGACAGATCTTTGGTCTCACCCATGGTGGTGGAGATGTTGGAATGAAACAAACAGATTCTGTGAAAAGGTGAGCTTTATACATATAACACGCTGAGACCAGGAGTATCTGCAATTCACTGATTGGCTGTGTACCCGTGTGGCACACAGATTACAAACTGTGGGAGCCAGAATTTTGGCTGGTTTGCAGACTACATTCTTATTTCGCTCTATACAGTGCAAATAAAAGTTGTTTTCTGGATTTTTGGTTTATATTCTGTCTCTCTCCATTTGAGACTGTTCATTTCTTTGAAAGTGAGCAATTCAGCAGGGCACCCAGTAATTATTCCCTCCACTGTACACTTTCAATTGGTTTAACTTTTGCCCCTGAGCGTGTCGGTGGCTTTTCACCAGTTTTTATTCCCTTTACTTCACAGCAGTGGCTTATTCATAGTCATAATTACAGTGCAGATTAGTTGGCCATACTTTAGAAAAACTAAGAAAAACTAACGAAGAAAAATATTTTTCTAGAAAACAAAAGAAAAATAAATATGTCCCACTTAAAGATGAATATCCAAAAATAAAGTTCTAAATAAAATAAAATACATATATTTAGAAAGAATACCTATTCTTTAACTATTTAAAATCAAGACAGTATAAACATGAACAGCTTTGAATCATCACATTCAAACCTGTTTCTTGCCACACTTGGTACATCCCCACCAAAAATTAACCATAATGTGATCAAAGGGCCTGGACTACTTTCACAGTTCTTTGATCTAAACCAGCGGTTCTCAGACTTTGAAGAAATGTTTTCACACCACATCTAATGAAAACAATGACAGAAAAGCTGAACTGCAACTTTATTTAGATAATAAACTCTAATAAATTCACAATTAATCCTTCAGTAATTTGTTTTAAACAAATAACTTTCATTTCAAACAACTATTTGTAACTTTTGTCACTAAACCGCTTCACTAGTCTGCACCACCTCTTCAAACAAGCAACAAGTTAAACAGAATGTGAAAATTGACAAACAAAAATAAAGTTCAGTTTTAGTCTTATAAAGAAAAAGAAATCCAGAAACCTGTGAACACAGATGAAAAATATAGACTTTATTGAGAGTTTATACTATTCACTCTTATTGGCTGTAGTGAGCCTGTTTTTGACTGCAGAGCTTTGGCGGGGTGTGGTCTGCGGTGTGGCTGCGGGGAAGGCGGACACACCTGAGCGGCATCCCCAATCATGCCTCGCCGGCTTGAAACAGAATGAACTGGGTCCTGTTGTTGTTGTTGATGTGTGTAGGCTGTAGCCGAAAAGCTGCAGCTGCGTGTGTAAGTCGACAGCCGCAGATGTTAAACATGAGGTCCGCAAAACTTATCTGCCAGGTAACTTGTACCTGTCAGAACTCTGCCACACGCTTTGAGAACCGCTGATCTAAACTACGAGGCCAAGCACAGTCAGATGCAAACTAATGTGTTATAAATCTTTAAACCAGCATTTTCAATCAGGCTCTCTTTAGGATTGCTGCTATTTTACATTCAGTTGTTCATCACAGTGAGTTTGTCTGAGTTACAGTAGCACTACTCTCTGTATCTGTTGACCCTAGAACTGAAGAAGCTTCTCTGATGAGAGGTGAAACGTCTTCAAGCAACTTAAAGAAGTCCAGACGCTTTTCTTT